CGGCTTCCAAGTGGCACTGGCAGCAGAATCCTTCTGCTCGTGTGGTGCCCTGGGCTGCGCCTCTGCGGCAGACGCCCGTCCTAGCCCTACGGCCTGGACCGTGGTGGGGCTTGAAGCGTGTCTCGAGGTAGGCTGAATTCCATGTGGAACATGCCTATAACTCTTGATGTAGGTTCCTTGTCAAACCTTCTTAAATGAACAGGCCTTTCTAAAATCAGCAAATTGAGCGGAACGCTCAAGTTTATGTATTCATCAATAAGGGGATTTCTCCAGTTTGGCTGAAGAGGCAGGACAAAGGGAGGGGAGACTGAGTGGAGCCATGAGAGAGTGGGACAAAAAGAGCCATCTGCAAGGAGATGGGGCCTTTACAAAGGAGGGAAATAGGGGAATTTCCCCACATTCTTCAGCAAGGGGGACAAAGGAGTTGGTGAGAGGTGAGAACAGATGGCAGGAGGCCGGAGTTCCGGTATAGGCGGGCCGGGAAGGCTGTAACTTCTGAGTACCTTGGCCAATGGGGAAAAGGAGAGGGCGTCCCTCGGTCGGGAAATTAGGATAAAAGGGGGGCTGCATCCTCCAGCAATTGGAGAGACCCCACAGGGCTATGCCCGGTGGACTCTTCCTTTATTCAAATAAAGTTTTAGGACTCCTCTGTCTCCTTTTTGGACATTCAGTTCTTGACAGCGAGATTTTCTGCACAAAATCAAAATTTTGATTTCAGAAATGGAAAAGAGCCTACATTTAAAGGCTTACTGCTAGGCAACCCTGGCACAAAGCACAAATACAACAACGTCTGTATTTGCTTCCCCTTTTGGGACCTGAACACTTCTCTCTCTGCTTGTTTATGGCTTTTACTATCCAAAGTCTCTGTAAATTGTTTTTTCTGCAGCAGCACAGCACCTATATCTTATGACAATACTGATAAGACACAGTATAAAACCTAGATGATGCTGAGGATAACTCAGTTTTGTCTGCAGCTACTTGTTTTTTAAGGAGAGATGGTGATTAGCTAAAGAAGTTAAACTCATGTTACACAAGAGGAGAGACAGGGCCATGGTAACACCTCCACAAACAGCTGCCCTGCCGAAAAAACAGTTGCTCTTAATTCACTGCATTTATTTGCTTAATAAATGCAGGAGCAGTTGGCCTGGCATTTTAAAGGATTGCTCTCCCAAGCAGGGATAAGCAGAGGAGCCAGGCGCCCCCTTTGCCAGAAGTGGCAGCGGCAGCCCCCGAGAAGGGGCCTGTGCCTGTGCCCGAGAAGGGGCCCTCTTGTCGGCGCTCCTTTGCCCCGCTTGGACATCGTGGCTTTGCCTCACTGCGGTCACAAGTCAGTGCTGTTACTGCACAAATGAGGACAAAGTAGGGAGGTCTCAGGACATCGGTGCACAGGATAGTAAGAGCAGGGTGGTGTATTTAGAGAAGGCAATTGCTTCTACACCTGAAGATATGGCCCACAGTGAATGCAGGTGGCCCCTCTATGCTGATTCTCTGGGGGCAAGAACAGCACCCCCCCCATCAGACATTACCTGTCTGATGGCACAGCCCAAGGCACATGCTGATGTCAAGCATGGTCCCACACACATTTTCATGGTGTATCCTGGCCGGGGCTTGTGGAAGAATTGTTTGAAAGCAGGAACCGAGAGGAAAACTAGGGCCTAACAGAAGTTTTGGCATTACAAAAGCTTGCTTGGGGTGATCCACAGTTGCCACTTCTAGGATGGTTGGTACGCACGGACTCAGCTCCTCCAATGAGAGATATACGATAACAAGTCCGGTGCTGAGCCAGCAAAGGTGGCAAATGATGAACTTTGCTTGACCTTTGCTCATTATAATGTGAAAACCATACTTCCATCCCAAAAGTTACCCGCCTCCGAGGTACGACCACCCCTCACTGAGCATGCGCTCTAGATTTTCGGTTGACTGTACCTTTAAATGAAAGCGAGAAACTTTTTCACCAATCAATAACAATATTAAGTCACTCGAGCTCCACCTGAATGTAAAGAAAAGTATAAAAGGTGAACTAAGGATAATAAGTGAGGGGGGAAGACTCCATCGTAACTCCTGGGTTAGTCGACGGGCTGAGCCCCCTTTCCTCCCCTCGGACTGGAACTCCGCCTGAGGAGACTCGAGACTGAGAGCCTTCTCCCATCTTCTGGGGTGAGTGATTGCACATTTGTACATCAGGGCTAGCTAAAAACCCCACGCTCTAGTAGAGAATTTCCTGTACTGACATCCGAAACCTGCTTTGTAAATGTTGCATTTGAATAAATCATACTGTTTGTGAACTCGACTACTTGTTTGGGGGGGAGGTGATCAGACCTACAGTTGACGGACTGTTCGTGAATCCGATACTGCCAGAGTCGAGCTTATAGTTGATCACACTATTTGGGAACTCGATTCTCTCCTAGGAAGGCAATCGGACCTACGATCCCCGGACTGTTTGTGAATCTGATACTGATTTGATATCTCCTTCCCCCCTCCCCACCACCACGGCTTTCAAACTGCACCCTTTCACAGGGCTGTTCAGAGAAGTAATAAGTTCACATAGAGGAATAGTATAGATTGTCACGTGCAAGGAATGTATTGCACTCATCTGTTGAACTTGCCTATCTGTTTTCTAACTGTATTTTTAACTTCTAAATGAGCTTTTACAAATAAGGGTAGGTGTTTGAGTCAGGCTATGGAACTGCTACATAATATAGGCCCCAAAATACCGGCCTGTAAATCTTGCACCATGCCCATAGCTTTAGCACCCATCATTCCAGTGCAAAGTCAATTTTTTTTAAACTACTCCTGAAGGCTAGAGCTTTGTAGCATTAACAGAAGTAGGACACTAGCGCTTATGAAAGTCCTCATTAAAAAGAGAATTGGTATGTGCATCCGGAAACTCTTGTACTTTGCAATCCCAACCCTTCAGGAACTCGGGGACTCGGGGGTACCTGAAAGCCTGCTCCCCAGACAGTGCATGCCCATTTGTTAAATGTATTGCAAACTCGTCTTTCTGCCAGCCGCCCCTCTGGGAGAGGAGGCTGCTCCTTCATTGACAATATCAAAGTAATACTGGGGCTGGTACAACCCTGCCAACAGCTGGGGCTTGCTTGGTTCCAGCATCCCTGCGTTTTCGTAGGGCTTAAATTCGACTGCGATAGATGTGCAATTGGCTGTAGATCTGGGGTACAGTTATATGTTTTTGGACATTGATTTGTCTTACAAAATTGAAATATTACCAGATTGCTTTTAATTTGCACTCTGCTTGCATTGGCTTCTTACCTGGAAGGAAATTATCAAGAGTTAAGGCAGTAAGAATCTCACTTACAGTTGTTTTTTTAGGTTTTTCTCTCAGATCCCACAAAAGGCCAACAAGGTTGTTACAGTGAGACAAGAGTGAAGTAAACTCTGCCTCCAGTGGGGACAGACTCTATCATGATAGACACCAACAGTGTTTTTCCCCTCCTAGGATTTTATGCTGCCACAGGGATCTCAGTATTTCCGTTGGGTTTGCAGAGGCAGCCTTGGGGGTGTTTGCACGAACTGCTGAGGCAGCTGTGAGCGGCTCCTGACTGAGAGAGGCAGCGCTGCGAGCAGCCTGGCCGCAGCCCTCGGCACCTCGTGTCCCCGCCACAAACCTCGGCAGGGCACCAAGGACACTCCGCTTGATTCCTTGCGAGTACATCTAGAAATGGGCCGGCCCAGCGCTGACTCCCTGGGCAGCTGTACGAGTGGCTCTGACCATGCCAGGGAAGCCTGGAGCTCCAGAGAGGAGAGGCACAAGTGCCTCTGCCCACCAGGGATTAGAGGCAGCCCCTTTGCACAAGCCCAAGGGTGAGCCCTTTCCTCCTGCTCACTCTTTGCCCCCACCTCAGACAAATGCTTCCAAATGAATTATCGCCCACCTAGAGCACAAGTCTCAAAAACTTTGAGACTGGTGAACGCGTGAGTTCTGCTTTGAAAAATCAAATTTGCCCAGACTGCTCAAGCCAACAATCTTCTCTTACTGACTTGTGAAGGAATTCATTCATTAATGGATTTAAAGTGATATGAGTAAATATAAAAATCAGAAATTCATAAAAATCATTGCACATATGTTTGTCAGTTTTTCATAGATCACAAAACTAGTTAAATGCAAATGAAATTCTTTAATGCATTCTAGCAAGCAGGACTCAGTGGCCAAGCAGATATGCATGCATGAAGCTGCTTCCAAGAATATGAAATTTAAAAAGGTTTAAGTTGGCAATGGGAGTCTCTCCTCCACCTGTATATGCTTTAACCACTAGTTTGTATTTGGTATTAGGTATGAGGTGTTTCACAGTGTATCTCTTTTCTCCTGGGTTTTCAATTATGTATTTACATAGCACCGAACCATCTAAAATGAAACCAGATGTTACAAATAGGTGTGAGACTGCTAAACCAATGAAATAACAGCACGTTTATGGGTCGCCTTCTTTTCAGTAAGTGCACTTTCCTCTGTGGAAGCTGAGGCATCCTGACTCTGCCGATGAGCTGCACTCACGTCCCCTCTACCCCGTCTGCCTGCAGTCCAGCTCATCCTGGCAGACCACCTACCCACTGCCTTTTCTTTTTTCCTTTCTTTTTCCTTTTCTTTTTTCTCTTTTCTCTTCTTTTTGCTCTTCTCTTCTCTTCTTTCTCTTTTCTCTTCTCTTTTCTTTTCTTTTTTCTCTTTTCTCTTTTCTTTTTCTTTCCTTTCTTCCAAATCCTGTAATCCTCAAAGACTAAGAAATGTCTGCATGAAGAAAAAAAAAAAAAAAAAAAGCCCCTGCCTCTCCATTAGGCAATTCCAGAGCCCAGGGAGAGAAGGGGCAGCTTCTTCCTCCTGCTGTGGGTGACACCTGTTATGTGCCAGCTCAGGCAAATGGGGAAGCAGACAATCTTTGATTTAAATGTCTTAAACTCTTCCTAACTGGGATTACTTGCAAAATTAGGGTACCACTGTGATTAATTTAATTTTGGTAGGAACTATGGCATAAGCCTCCTTCAGTTCAAACTTAATGTTTCAGCCTGGTACTAGTCTAATCAGCAGAAAGGATCTGAAACAGGACATGAACCACCTGTGAGAAGAGGTAAGGGGAGGGAAAAAGCAAAACAACAACAAAAAATATACCCTTGGATGTGTTGGAAACACATGGAAATTTCAATGCATCTGTAGCAGCTTGGGATATGGAGCAGGAAAATCGGAAACCAAAGATTAAATTTGGCTTTGTGCCACATCCCAGCTTAGCTCTTCTGCACAAGGAACTCCATTGTAGAGCACAGCTATGAATATTTTCATTGTAAAGGAATTTAAATGGGGAATTTCTACAATGTTCCAACTCTGAGGCATATAAAAGGCATCCCATCTGTTTCTAGAATAAGCTAAATCCTAGTAAAACTGACATGCTTCCTATGAGTCTCATCCAAGTTGACCACAAACAGATGTTTCAGAAATTTATCCAGAACCCAGAGTGCAAGAAGCAGAAACCTGACTCCTGCTCCGGTACTGCAGGAATCCATTCTAAAGTTAAAGGAAGATATAGATCTGCATAATGCCAGGACTGCTTCTCCCCATTAGCACCTCAAGCATTAGGGAGGAATCTGTATCTTGCCTAATGTGCCAATTTGCTTATCTAATATGAACTTTCCAAGAGATTGCCGTATCAGCTACAACCACACACAGGCTTTTAGCCTCTACCAACGACAGAGCTTCCTAGGTCAGTTACCTGGAAGAATGTGTTTTTTGGATTCTTTCAGACTGCAGTCCTCTTGCACAGGAGAGGCGTAAACATGGTAGCCTCTTATAAAGCCAGGCTGCGACGCAGTTGTGGGATAAGAATCCCAAGACAGTGTTACTGCATGGAAAGTCAGATGAATTTTTTTCACAGGAGGGTCAAGCGTGGGGGCTAGAAGAAAGGAACTGGATGGTAGACATACCCTTTATCTTCTTACCTGAAAGAATTCTAAATTCCCAAGCAGTGGTTCTGTTTAAATTCTACTTGTATTTAAAAGTTTCACACACCCAAAGCACTCCAAAAACCTGTCAGCTTCACAAAGCTGTCACATAGCCCACCTTCTACACAAAGTTCTCGTCTAACTGCACTAACATGGATTCTGCCTGGTCACTGCACTAGTTAAACATCCTCTACATAAGCCATTTGCATTGCTTCACAACTCGTACGTTCTTCACCAATGATAAAGCTGCATTTGCTGTGTCGTTTCTGTAACTAGTGACAAGAAAAAGCCTGTAAAATATGTGGCCAACGTACGGAGCTCCTTGAGATAACCAGTCGTCTTCTCCAACAAGGAGACTGTATTAGCAACAGATCCATAGATGTGGAAGTTGTATCCCACCCCCTGGCACAAATGAAGCTAAAAAAAAGAGTTAGATACCAAAACTATGTGTTTTCCTCACAGACAGTCACTCCCAATCACATTACCCAGGTACGACCCACTGAGGAACCAGACAACATATTCTCTACTGAAACACTCACCACACTGTCAGTGAAGAGGCTCCTGTAAAAGAACACTCCATGTGTTTGCATTAATTGAAGTGTAGCTCGTTTAATGCACATGGAAATGTGTTCAGTCAATTTTTGATCCAACATGCTTTATTCCAAAGTGGGCTCAGCTGGCAGAGGCTTGAGGAAGGCTATAATCCTGCAGCTGCACAAGTGGATCAGAATGACTTCCATACATCCAGAAAGAATTCAGGTCTAATGGCCACCATGAGGACAGAAACACACAACTGATGCTAAGCAAGGACTGGTGCTGAGACATCTCTCTGTGGCACCCACTCTCACTAAGCTCTGTGTGTGTCTAAACTTCTGACCTGTGCTACAGGTAAGGCAGAGCTCTATTCTGCTGCTCTTGCTGAAAACAAATTTTGAAGATTTTGAACTCCTTCATTAACCCCACTACCCTCCTTCAAGGCTTTACCACAGGCTACTCAGAAGGGGTTTTGCCAAAATATTAGGCTGATTTCCAATAAATAGGCTCAGTGGTGCTGATGTGTGTGTGGTGTCTGATCCAGCTATTAGGCAAACACAATTCTACCCCTTTTCAAAGAATTACACTTGCATTGCACAGGTTTCAGCATTCCATAGGATTTGTATCCTAAATTCAATTAAGGCCCAGAGCATAAGAACCAACATCAGAAAAAAAAAAAGATTGTTCTGCTTTCACCTGAGCTGATCAAAGTACTGGAATTGTGGGGCCCAAATCTCTTCCACTGAAGATCACGGGGCTGCAACTCTGGGAAGTTACACCAGTCAACAATGTAACCGTCATATGTCTTTCTAGGTTCCCAGGAAAGAAAAATGCCATTGTCTGCACCAATAACCTGGTCTTCTTTAAGATCTGAAATGCTGAGCTCCTTTTCAGTGCCTATTAATAAACAAAACAGAATTTATATTTATATTATTTTCCAATATTAGACCACTGATGCATAAATGAGGGTTGATACAGTTTCTATGCCAAGCTGTTTAAACACTAATAAATCTGTGTGTTCCATCATTAACAGATATATAGACATATGGCTCTTTCATACATGGAGAGCTGATCTCTATCTATAAGAACCTGATTTCTCAAAACCTAGCAGTTAAATTACTCTGCATTTGTACAAAGAACTGAACTGCAGAAAATGCAGCTGTAAATGATAAGCAAGAGACATAGGAGGCTGATCACATGCAAAGACTCATGCGAGACATTGGCTGCATCTATGGCACTTGCTGCAGGACTAAGGCCTAGCTCTGAGCTAAACATATATTAATCTGTGTAGATTCCCTGTGGACACAGACTTTCTGTTGTGAGGGATGGATTGAGGTACCTCAGCTTAATTTGCATATAGCTACCACTTTAGAGGCCAAAATACAACAGTAATTTCCAAATAGTAACAATTTTAGTTAAAAGGCCAGGTTAATTTATTTACCCAAGATGATAAATTACCACTTCACATAAAATAGGTAGAAACAAAACTTCTGTAAAGGAAATCTAAACTCAGCAGAAAATATTGCTGTTACCTGTAGCTCCAGGGATGATCATTACTGAAGGAAGTGAATAATTAACATTGTTCTTTGCCACAACACTGATTTTATAAGGATCACTATCAATGAAAATCCTTGTGGTATTATAGACTGATGAAATGGAGATATGCTCAGGCTTAGAGTCCTCTTCAACTTTTTCCCAGGTTATTTCATATGAAATACTTCTTCCATTTGCTTGAAAACTTGGTGTTAGCTGGTGGAAAAGTTATGTGGGTAGCAGCAAATTTTAAACACCAATTACTTACTAAATTATTGTTGCAATAAAACAGTTTACTTTTGTAATGACACAAGCACTTGCTTGCATACATGCATACAAACACTGGTTGAAATGGAAACATGCAAATCTCAGTAATGTAATTTTTCTTGTTACAGTGTTTGGAAAACTATATATATATATGTCTGCAATGCCAGGAAAACACACCATCATACCGCTACATAAGTTCTGAAATATGTTACATGTAATCTTTTAAGAATCTAACAAAAGAACTTTTTCATGAGTAGTTGTTATGTACCGTTAGGGACTTACACACATGGACTGGTTAAAGCTTTGGGGAGAAGTTTCCAATTCCTTTATATAGAGGTTCATTATTGTTTCTATACCCATGTGTCACCTTCCAGAATAAGGTCACATTCCGCCCACCCAAAACTGGCGTAATTTCTCTCCAGATATCCAGTTTCCCTGATGGACTTGTAATAAACACAGTAAAACAAGACATTCTAGGTGCAGAAAGGACAAACAGTTTATTTCCCCCTCTTTGAAGAGAGAACTCATAGGCCTCTGAAGAGAGGGAAATAAATCTCAAATCTCTCTTTCTAGATGAGTCTTGCCAAAACTTCATCTTTTAATTTCTTGCTGTTTTTGTTCTTCTGTATGAATGTCTGCCTCATTTCCCTAGAAAATCTCTCTTTGCTTGCAATTCTCAGGTCTTTGTTTCCTTTTCTGCACAATTTCTCCAGCCTGCATGTCTTACTGCCTGCCCTGGATGAAATGATAGAGACTGGCAGGTAGGAAGAAAACTATTTAAGCCTCCTTCCTAAAGTTTGCTTAAAGTGCTTTCATACATGCAGCAAGCCTCTGTTTTAGCTACACAGCATAAAAGCAGCTGTAAATAACAAGCAGAGGTGGCAATCAAAGACCAGCCTTCAAGCTCCCAGTCCCAAAAGGCCAGACATACTTGCTTCCTCCATCCTGAAGGTTTGGGCCTTGCTCCATTCACCCCACCTCTAGAAGTGCTGGGCTGTCCCGCAGCGTACTTGAAGTGTGTACTGGATGTACGGCTGCAGTCCCCCCACGGTGATGCTGGCATATTGGAGGCGCATGCTGGAGCTGTTGTGCTGCAGGACAGAACAACAGAGCAGTTTCATGAGAAAGGGGGTTTTGTCTGTAGATCCTACGAATAGCAGGTTAAGCTCAAGAAGGAAAATGTAATTATGGAACCATGGTCAAGAGAAAAAAAGAAATATGGCAAAAGATCCAAAGACTGGGATGCTCAAACAGAGGTGTGCAAGCCTCCTTTGTGCAACGGTCTGATTAGAAGTCTTTCACAATAGCCTGTAAGATGACCACTATTAACATCAAGGCAGAGGTAATTTACTGAGACCTTGTCCTCACCCTACCTGGGGCTCTTATTCACTTCACAGCAAGAAGCTGTTCTAGACAAATGCACACTATCTACTGCTGCCTTTTCTTTCTTTTTTTTGTCCAGTCTTCCCTCTCATTTCTCCTATGACTCAGGGTGAGTTCTGGTAAAAGTCAAAAAGTGAGCATGCTTTTCACCTCTTCTTCACCTCTCTTCTGACTGTCTCCTGCAACAGTCATCTGCAGATGCCACTTGATCTAACCACTCTTAGGCAATACTGCGGACAGAATACATGTTGCTCATGATCTTAATAATATCCTTTTACATGCTAGAGCCAAGCTACCTTTGAAGAGGACTAAAGGATAAATCACAATACTTATGCAAACAGCTGATCAGCCTCACTATTTTTGAAAGATAAGGACTCTATTG